CTCGATGGCATTGCCAGGATCATACAATGACGTTGGCAATAAAAGGGTTTTTAACGCGAACGCAGACTATTCATATTTCGTAGAGCAATCTACAAATCTACATGGCGAATAATTTATTTCGCTCATTTCAATTCAAGCATTTGTAGCTGTCAAGACAAAGGAACGCCGTACACTAAAAATAACATCAACAAACCTCGCGCGAGCTCGTCCGATAAATGTTTTTAATAAATTAGTTAAACAGATAAGCAAGCGTCTCATAATTCATTGCGCTCGAATTCCAGCTTGCTAGTCAGTCAGTCAGTCACGCATGTTACACAGCTACGCACTAGTCTGGTCGATTCGATTATAGTTTGTCGAAAGATTTGGATTGAAATTTATTTGCATTTATAATCAGTGGCAATGATTCACATTGTTCAATGTGAAATTATTCAATGCAATGACTGTGATAGAGCAAACACTCCTGTGCACGTTTTGACGTGAATCCATTGAAATGATAATAATGATGAGAATAATTGGTATAGTTGGCGGTAATGCTGCCGTGATCAGCGTTCGAATCGAATAATAATTTATCAGCCAAATTTTATAAATTAACGTCATTTCATCATAATTGTCTGGGAACCAGTGTCAAAAGTACCTTAAGCGTCAATCAAGAGATTAATCGTCCCGTTTTTTTCTCGTTTCATTTATTCATCACGATGTGCGAACATGTCTCTCGCACATTATTATAAATTAATGTGTCTCTGTGCGACGTCACCATACGCACTTCGAAAAGACGTCAACTGCCATGCAATCACGCAAATATATCGAGTTCACGTAATGTATAAAGGGTCAAAGATTCCATGTTGCGTTACTTTCATTACATCAAAAAAAAAAAATGCTTTTATGTTCCCTTTGAACCAAATGGAACCAAAATAAAAGTGCCTACGCGTTACAGCGCCCCACTTCGTCAACAGTGTACACAGTCATACATATATCTGGATTTGCTCTTCTTCGTTCAAAGCAAATTTCTTTCGCTATCTCCCGAAAGCACCGTCCTTGGTGGCACACAATGTACACAAGAACATCGGAGCAGTTGAAATTGAGCCTCTAACTATTAAAATATTTATAAAACGCATAAAAAATACTGAGCATGTTTAACTTTTGATAAAAAAAAGAGCAACAATACACTGGGGCCAATTTCGTTCTATCTTCAACAAATTTTTTTTTCCGCTATACTTCTCTCGCAACTGATTCTTTCGCCCACCGCTGGAAAAAAGACGAAAAGTTTTTTCACTCGCTTTTATTATTAACTTTCAGGTTCTTTGTTTTGTACTTGGTGCTTTATACTTTTATAGGAATACAAAAAAATGGAACAAAGTCAAAACAACATGTAGAAAGCCAGAGAGAAGAAGTGAAAATCACCCGAAAAATACATACACGGGAACGATGACGACAAGAAAAGCCACGTTTTAGTGAACTCGCATGTTCGGTTTCTACGTGTGTATGTGTACTTCCATTGAAAGTTTATCGATAAGAAGGAAAAAAACGACCGAGAAGGAAAAAGTCGAAAGAGAAAAAAAAAGATGCAAAACTGATTTTCTACTTTTGCTCGATGCGTGCACTTACGTGTTTTTTTTTTTATATCTCTATTACATTTTGTGGTTTTAATAATGTTTTCTTGTGCAACTTTCAATTCAATGGGGGGAAAGCATATGGTAGTCGACCATATGTATGCAGAGTGTGTGTGTTTTGCAGTGTGTTGAAAGGCAAAAGGAACGGCCATGAAAATAGCGCGTCATTTAATATGCATCAACCATCAAGAATATGCAAAAGATAACGGTGAAAAATCTCAATGCTCTTGTTGATTTGTTCTCTTTCTCATTCTCCATTCATTTACGTGTTCGTTCGTACGTTTGGCGCCTGGTTCCATGTTCACCTCTCTCAATTTTCCTCCACTTTCGAAGATTCATTCATCTTTTGCTCCCTTTTTCTTGGAAGTTGCGACAAACTTTTGACATTTTTGTTGGTGTGTGGCTCTTGTTTTACTTTAGTTCCATCATTTGATACCGGCAATTTTCGTAGCGCACATACTCTGCAAATTGCATTTTGTGCCAGCGATACCAACAGCCATCGACGTACGTACGTGTGCCTGACATTTATGACATAATATCGATGATACTGCATTATCATCAGTATTGGAATGGTTCTTAGTCTATAGATGAGTTTGAAAATTCTTTTCGAACTATGTAGCGGTTATGAGATAGCCACAGAAAATGAGACGGTCCAATAAGTTTTGCTACGAGTGAAGGGTGCAGATGGAAATGGGACAAAACGAAGACACACACACACGTACACACACAAATGACGAAGAAGAAAATTCCGTTCCGGTTTTTGTGTTTACCTAGATAGACCGAGTGGGATGATGAAACCATGGGTAAAAAGAGCCAAATCGCACAGAACGATGCCAAAGCGAACGGAAAAAGAGGGAGAAAAATTAATTCAATGTTTTGCTTTTAGTTGGTATTAAAAATTTCATGAACGCGCTAGACTTGTTTTTCCCGATAAAAAAAAGAGGCCAGATGAAAGATGCTTACACAGTATTTAATGAAGCAAACGATGATGGTGCGATGGTAGAGGCGATGGTGATTACTTGTCAAAAAAAAATGCGATAATAGAATCGAGCAAGTTGTGGTGGTCTCCATCGAAAGACTCCATTGCACCGCAATATTGAACAAAACCTTTGAATTGTTGAAAGAAAAAAATATTGAATGAAACGTACACTGGAACTAATGTAAATGAAGCGCATCATGTGTTAACGCCATTTTCGATAAATTTCCATTATCGTTCGTATCGTATTTTACATTATTTTCTCTATGTTGCATGTGTTATTGAGAGAAAGAGAGAGAGGGGGACGAGTGCAAGAAAATCATGTGGAGAAATGGAGCCATTAACACACATCGCACATTAATTTTCACAAACAATTGCTAGTTTGTTGTTTTATTCGGAAATGCGCTGTGGAAACACTGCTTTTGCATTGCACAATCATATATATCACAAAAGTAACGGAACTTTCAACTCACTTCCTATCAACTTCATCGCAAAGAGTGAAAAAAAACATTAGTTTTCACATTAAGAAAGTTTATTCGTGTAACTGTTCATTGGTGTAAGCGCTGCATGAATATTTGCATTTTCAAGACAAACTCAACTCATGCTGGGCACGCTCGAAAATCCATTTCAGGCTTTTTAATTTCGCGCGGATAGAAAATCATGAGGAATGTCCACATCAATTCAGATACCCGGTGGTACAATTACGAACAAAACTGTTGAATAATTTTTGTTTATTTGGCTGAAATCGAAAAATCTACTTGACTCGCAAACGAATGAAATGTAATAGTGGTAGTGAACAGAAAAAAACAACTGACAAGCGAAAGAGAGAGAGGAAGCACGAGAGAGCGTCACGAGTTGGTAGCCGCCAAAAAGAAGAACAAAGAAGGAGAAAAAAAAATAGTAGAAAAGAAAGCAGACGAAATTAAAGCGCGAGAAGCGATCGAGATGGTAATGTGAGAAACAAAGCGCTTTGTTACATGAACAAGAATAAATGGAATTAAAATTTGTGTTGATTTGTTTGCACAAAGATTTCATTTAATACTTCCCCAAGCATAATTTCATTTTTCATGCTTCACTTCCGAACTGCTATGTAGTTGGCTAACTTTTCACCGCCATCTTATCTCAACACCACGTTTTTGTACTCGGTTCGAATGCAAGCAGCATAAAATTTCCGTCTCTTGTGTGCGCACTGCATACACGATGGTATTCTTCACTGTTTTACGCTCAGCAAACCAAATGAGTGGACATCATTTATTCTGTTGATGGTTCATTTTTATTCTCTGTTCTCTCCATTCAGTTTGTGATTCATTTATTTGGTTTCTTCGAAATTCAAAGACCCATACTTCAATGAAAAAGGCGAACAAGATTAAAGTTTTCCATCAGTTTGTGCTGTGGTGCATCTTCGTATTATACAGAGCACCTAAAATGTTCAGCTGCTGACACATGCGTTATGAACAGCTACAGATTTAAAACCATAATCTGCTCGCATGGAAAATCGGTGTTGATCTTTGGATTCTGAATTTATATCAGCAAGAACGGGAAAAAACACTGACCTCTTAAGTCGCTAATGATTCCAATCGAAGTACTCAAATGGCAACTAATTGGGCGAAAGGGTGTAGAATCGTATGGTTTGTTTTCGAGATTATCATGAATAAACTCATTCCAAAATGATGTTTACCGTTGGATCAGACCATTTGTATTTCAACTGCCTCTCGGTTTGGCTCACAGTCTGACACACACACATTGCCATTGTATTATCTCGATTTAATTTGCTGTAGCTCTTTTGTGAAACGTGCGCTGACCTTTTTGCTCTCTGTGTGCGAAAGATGAATACCGTCGACTATTTAATTTATTCAAACTTCTCGGTGTTTCAACACTGAACGCAGTCAATTAATGGCACAACTGTCAATATACGTTGAGTCCTTCCCGCTTCGTCGATCCCCTTTTTGTTTGAAACTTTCAAGAAATTTCATTCATTTCCACTGTTTACACTTAAAAAATACTATATAAATTATGAAATATGGACTTTTATTGAGTCGGTATAAAATATAACAATACAGTTCTCGTTTGAATGAATGCAAGTCAAAAGGTTCACTATGTTAACCAGTCGAATTTGTGGATTTATGCTTCGGTTCAACAAGAAGAAGAAAGTGTACTCAAGATTAAAGCGAATTTACATAAATCTTGTGCTCGCTTCTTTTTTTCTTTCCGTATTTGATAGCTAATGAAAAAAAGTTTTTTTTCCTTGTTTAACGGACCGAGTTTTCATCTCCAATATCAATATCCAAGATGATTTGCTATTCATTTTAGTTACTTTTAGTTACTCGGTAAATAATTTATTAGTCATAAGACTCTACTATAATACAAAAAGCTAAATTTTGATTTTCTTCTCTTTTTTTCTGTTGATGTTACAGGTTATTTGGTTTAAGGAGACCATGCAATTGGATACCACGGAACGTCATATTATGGGTAAAAAAGGATCACGTCATACACTCATGATTCGAAAAGTTCATCCACAAGATTTTGGTAATTATTCGTGTGTCGCTGAGAATCCACTTGGAAAGACTCGCAAAACTCTGCAACTCACCGGAAAACCGAATACGGCTGTATTCCGGTCTGCACCAACGAGCCAATACAAGGACAGGTAAGATATCTGCCATTAAATTTGGTCAACGCCGAAAAAATGTCCTTTCGATTTTCGGCTGTCCGCCATATACATAATCTATGTCGGATGATTTTTGTGTGCTTCCCTTCTCTCTCTTCTCATATATACGATTATTGCTTTCGGTATAAATGTGATATAAAAATATTGGGCCCAACGCTGCTGATTGACTTTTGAGACTTTCATCTGTTTGAATAGCTACAGATAGAAATACATGTATGAAAATGGGATTGGCAAACGGGAGGGTATTGGTCGTTTCAGTCCACTTTATCATGCTCATTGGAGGTGAAAGAGATTCGCATCTCGGATTTTTTTTTTTTCGTCATAAGGAATTACAATACAGATTAAGTAGTTATTTCCACAGCAATATAGTGTCGATGTAGAAATGAGGACCCGTACAACGTGAAAGCCATACAAATGTACGATTCGAAATGATTCCAATGAACTTCTGTCATACGAAATGCGCATTGTATTGACATTTGAATGCTTCTTTAATTGACAACCTTTGGTTGTGTTAAGCAGTTTGGCAGGTGACTAGAATGGACAAAATTGAATTGTTGAAAAAGACGAAATTGATGTTTAAATATGTGTTCATTCCAAGTTAAAGTTTGCTGTTCGTCTGCATCATTCGCTAGTGTAATCGTAGTTTGGAATTTCTACTCGAAATACTTACAAATGCAGAAATCAAAATACTGAGAGTTTTAACCACTGCTATTCATGCGACAGAACATTGCAAAAGAAGCCACAAACATTTTCATCTTCTTGCGAATAAAACTTTTCGAAGCAGATTACGAAACAGTCGTTGCACGTATTATATAATTTTATATGGGTGATTTTATGAATTTTTATCGAAGTTGAGAAAATTAAAAATGAAAATGAATGCAAAACAAAACGGTTGGTCGGTCGGTCGGTCAATACATCGAAGTTCAATGGCTGTGAGATCTGCACCTGAATGCATAAATGTTTTATTGACTTGCCGCTAGAGGAAAGAGATAGAGAGAGAGAGAGAGAGAAAGTAAAAAAGGAATTTGATTTTTCCTTCCCCGTCAGAAACCGGAATATCGAAGCAAATTGCGTCCAAATACGTATTTCAAATATTTGAGTGTGTATAAATAATTCAATCGTGGGCTGGTGTGTTTCGATGGACGGTCAATTTGACTTTCTCTCTCTCTCTGTCCCTTACTCTCACTCACTCATTTGAGAATTGCTGCGCGTAGGGATGACTAGATGCAAAACATAGATCGACTCTGTCTCCCCTGGCCGAGTACGTGGAAGCAATAAAAATAATAAAGTGATATGAATTTAAGCGGCTTCAAGGGTTTTCACTGCACAATTTATCGGCTCACAGTCGATGCGCCATGGACTCGGTACACACATATAAACGAAACACACACACATTGGTGCACGTTTATGTACGGCACTTATTGCTTAATCGCTGGCTATGGCTTCTTCACGAATTTTATTGCAAAACATTCTGGTCGATCTCTGTTTCGGTGTGTTGTACACAAAAACTGCCTCACTTAATGCCATTTTTTCCCGTTCACCAGCACAATTTATTCGTTAGACGGACATACACAAAGCGAACTCGGTTCGGCAAATGATGTAGAGAAAGAAAGTGATAGAGAGAGAGAGAGAGAGAGAGAGAGAGAGAGAGAGAGAGAGAGAGA